TTTAAAAAAAAAAAGATTTGAGTATATCCATTCTTCTAAGGAGTTATCTTATTTTTCTGACTTAAGGTTACAAATAAGTTTTCCATTTTGCCTGCATCTTGAACCACAGGGCCATTAATGTTGGGAGTAGCCTAAGAAGGTCCTAGGCTAATCTACCCCTACCTTGAGACAAGTAAATGTCTAACTATCCAGGACATTCTCTTTTCCTAATTGTGTCACAGAGGGAGATAACATGCCTTCTTTGGCAGCCAGTTAAGTGTTGTTGTTCTGTCTTCTTTGTTATAAAGTCTCACTTCTTATTTCATCCTATTAGTGTGGGGAAGCTGGGGTATGATTAGAGTCATTAGTAAAAAAAAAAAAAGTAATAAGTTTGGAACAGTAGCTTTGTGGTATGAGCCAGATAATCAGAAATAGAGAAGTTTATTGAGTAGCAGTGAGGACCTGAGATTTTCACCATGTGTTTGTAGTGAGAGGAGTCCTTTCAGTTCCATGACTTTCAAGATACTTGGTTTTTGAAAAATAGGTTCATAACTGTGTGCAGAAGGGGTAAGAAACTTTGTATGTGATGTTACACTCACTTGATATATTGACTAGTTTTAAGATGATAAAGAAAAATAATTTTAAAAACTATAAGCAGAAAAGATCACTTCAAAAATTTTATCTTATATAATGAACTTCTGCCATAATGCTGCTCTCTAAACCTTTTCACCTTGTTCTATACACTGTACCTGTTGGTACATTATATCAGCCTCTGAGCATATTTGATGTAGAAGGCACGGTACCTCCTCCTTACGTTTGCCTCAACAACCTTCATTGTCATCCATCATACATGGTTCAGAATAGGCATCTCAGGAAAAGCTGTTCTTTCTTAAAATTTCATCTTGCCACAGAAATTTCCCAATTTACCTCAGCTTTGGGATTTTTTTCCCCTTTGAAAACAGTTACTACATTAGATTAAATTGAACTGTCCCTGCTCCTGAAGATAGTTGTCTCTGACGTTTAGAAGATAATCCATTTTTGATGATTATTCAACTTTTACTAGAAATCATTTCACTGTCTAAACTATTCTCTATCTACCTGCATGCATGGTTGGTATTAGTTATGTTCAGGATAATTGGTGCTTTTAATGTAAGCTAAAATCATGACTTGAGAAAAAAGAATAGTAAAGGAGACTGAGGTTCAGGTGGTAGTTTTGTTCACATATAGGCTTAATTAATGGCAGTGCAACTTTGGAAGGATATGAGTTGTTGGAGACAAGAAAGCAATCAGCACAGCTTAGGTCGTCCTTAGGAGAAAAACTTGTTCAAAGACCCATGTGAGAAATTTCATTTGCAAAATATGTATTGAATTGGTATACAAGTTTGCTTCATTTTAACCAAACCCGAAATATTACATTGAAGGCTGGTAAGCAGCTCTTCTAAAATTTTTCCCACTCGTAACCCCTTCAACACTTCTTAAACTGTGGGTTGCGACCCCTATGAGGTGGGGTCGCAACCCACAGTTTAAGAAGCACTGGATAGTGGATCTCTAGAGAAGCCTGGGCTGAGTTAGACCTGGGTTCAAGTTCTACTTCTGACACGCCCTGCAGGTGTGACTTGGGCACATACCACTTTGACCTTTCAGTGTTCCCAGTGTTCTCCAAGTTTCAGAACAGTTTTTGATCTTCATTGGTAGAGGGGAATTTCATTGTAGGGAATTCCCTATACCAGTAGGTTTACAGATTGACCACCACCACTATCCTCCCATCCCCTTTCCCCCCAAAACTGTAAACAGTTGTTTGTTTACATAAAACCAGCATGGTAAAATAAGAAAAAGGTGACTTGGTAGTCAAAACTCTTAGATTTGAGCCCAAGCACCAACAGCCAATTAGTTGTGTGGCTATCAACAAAGCATTTCATGTATATAAGCCTCAGTTTCCTTATTTATAAAATGTAAGAAATCACTTTGTAAATCAGGTGCTATATGTATGTAATCTATTTAAAGGGCAGTTCTATCTTCTAGGAACAGATTTTCGGCCTCTTCCCCGCCCCCCCTCCCCCTTTTCTCTTCCTCACCACATTTGACGATCAGAATGTATATTGCCTTTTTTCCCAGCTTAAGTCTGAAATAGGACAACTTTTTAAATGTCTCTAAATTAGCAATGTGTTAGACTTAAAATGATAGTAGAGGACGATGGGTAATAAAACCTTTGTTATAAGAAGGGAAATGCTTATGCTAATTTCTGTTATGCAAAAAAACAATCTGGAATGTCTTATTTTAAATGACAGGTATTATTTTTATACACACATTACTTTTCATAATTACCTACTTAAAATCAAAGTGTGCTTTTGGTATTTTGTATGAACACAAACCTTTTCTTTAAATACTTAAATGTCAGAGTTACTTGTGGTCCTTCTATATACCAAGATGCCATCAGCATAATGGCAAGGGCATCTGGAGGACACTCTTTCTCTCTCATCCTTCTATCCCCACACACATCCTTCACTCCCACTTGAAGGGAGTTGGACCTTGTGTAGAACATTCTTCATCACCATGGCAAATACCTTCAAAAGGCATCTGTTTTCTGTCTCACTGTTAGTAATAAGAAGATTGCAGAACAAAAATCTAGTTGAATTTTTAAGTGATCTTCTATGTTCATATATGTATGTTCACATACATTCCTTATTGGAGAACTGCATTTTCTATTGAGTTTTGTTTTATGGCTTTGTGCTGGTGGTTGTTTTGTAATCAATTTGTGCCAAGTATGGTAGGATATCTTATTCTCTGTACCCTTTAGTTGGTTGAATATATGAAGTCTACTATAAAAAATGATTGTGAAACAGCATTTCCCTTACTTTTTAAAATCAAGATACCCTTCATATATTTAGAGATAATTCTTGTCCAGATTTTATAAAAATGAGAAAGTTGGTATATGAGTCAATTACTGCTGTCCTCTCACCTTTTTGGGGATAGTGAGATTGTCCGTGATATTATTGAAGTGGGCCTATTACATAACAAAAATCAGCAGTAGTAAACATGTAAAAATACATAAAGGGCAAGTAAGCCTCTTGCAGCATATGGGTAGATTCTTCTATGAGAAAATTATGAAAAATTTACACAATTAGAAGGTGATGGCATTTCGTGATCTACACAAGAGGTAATGCTTGCAATTAATGAGATCATGCATTTGTTGAAGCAAATGTTGTGTTTATGTGTAACCTACACCCTATAATATTAACACACATGCACATGGAGTGGATATACCAATTCATTGAGAAGATTCTTGTGGCATATAGACAAGTAAGTGAATTGCCTAAAACATTATAGTTGAGCTGGGAGTTTGGTTGTTGATTTGGTGTGGTTTGGGTTTTGTTTCTTTGTTTTGTTTTGTTTTGTTTTGTTTTTGAGGCAATTGGGGTTAAGTGACTTGCCCAGAGTCACACAGCTAGTAAGTGTTATGTGTTGGTAGGCCGAATTTGAACTCAGGTCTTCCTGACACCAGGGCTGGTGCTCTATCCACTGTGCTACCTTTTTGTTTTTATTTTTAAAATCAAGTGATTTTGTGTTTTTAATACATGCTGAATAAACATGATTTAACAGAAGGAACTTGGCCTATAGGTAGCTTTACTTTACATTTCATAACGCATTTTGATTTGATGCTTAGAAACTACAGAAAATTCTGTTTACTATGCAACATTCAATGTTAAGGGGTTTTTTTTGTTTTTTTTTACAAATAAATATAAAAGATTATATAGAGCAATGAAGACAGGAACAACACTAAACAATCACCAAAAGATTTCTAATGTTGACTTTTTAAAATACTTCTGCAAGTCTAAAAATGAAAAGGAAAATTATTCGTCATCTTCGTTTTTACAGAAAGGTGAAATACACCATTGTATTTAGTTGTGAAACTCAGGTTCAAACTTTTAGCTTAGCAAGGAACATAGTAACTCATACTTATCATTAAAATCGTTATGTGAGGGAGAATGTATTTTATGAATTGCTTTGACCAAATGAATTCACTTGGTGACAAACTTTCTAGTGTGGAGTCTCTAAGCTATTCCTAATCTTTCACTTTCTGGTTTGGAAGACCAGGCATGATTTTTTAAGAGCCATTTCAAGAGGACTGTTAGGTTTTTGTGTATTCACTATTTGGGCAACTTACATTAAGGTTACTTGTGCCAAAAAGAGAGTTAACCTTTGTCAAATGGTTAGTTGCACCCTTAATTTGCTTTGTATTGAATTGGGGTAATCACTACCCAAATATGGACCCCCTACAGTGGTGGGAAAATGAAAAAAAACGATGCTAATTAGAACTTGCTTTGCCAGTTCTTAATGCTTCTGGAAGAAGAAGAAAGAAGATGAGGAGCTGAAATCACCTTGGCTTGGCAACATTTAAGACTTTTGGCTGTGCATTTTGGGAAAAATAAATACTTTTTACTTTTTGTGTGCCTTTATTTGTACCTTGAAGTATTTCAGTGACAATGTGAATTAACAGCCATAGTTAGCATAGTTAATCTGGGGAGGGTTAAATTCTCCAAAAACATGTTAGTAATTTTCTAACATTATATGTGACACATTGGATTTCAAGGTTTGGGTTAACAATTTTCTAATGACTCAGCAAGGGTGAATTGAATTCTAATAAGTGTGTGGCATTTGCCCCAGTGTTTTAGTACTTTATTCTATTAGTGGATAGTTTAGGAAATTGCCTTTCAAACTGACTAGGAAAAAAAAACCCACAGGAATTTGATCCAAAGTTGGTGTCTCATAAAATTGCCCGTTTAGTTTGCTGTATCATTACTGTTGTATAAAATCTGCATTATGAATCTCAGAGCTTTATGATACCTTGCAAAATTATAACGTGTGTGTGGTAGGAACAGTAGATATTTGATGTTGTTTAAAATTGAGTAGGTATAGATCTAATTTTGTGAGCAATATCTGCTGGTATGTACAGGGAAAGTGGTTGTAATGAAATAGTGCTTTCTCTTCTGTTTCTAAGAGTTTTCTTATTGATTTTTTAGGCACTCAAGGAGTTGCGCCTGGTCCTGTAATTGGGTTACAAGCACCATCTACTGGTCTCCTGGGTGCTAGGCCTGGCTTAATACCCTTGCAGCGTCCTCCAGGAATGCCTCCACCTCATTTACAACGATTCCCTTTGATGCCACCTCGTCCTATGCCACCTCATATGATGCACAGAGGACCACCTCCAGGCCCAGGAGGCTTTGGAATGCCACCACCTCATGGAATGAAAGGCCCCTTTCCACCCCATGGCCCTTTTGTTAGGCCTGGTGGAATGCCAGGACTTGGAGGACCAGGACCAGGCCCTGGTGGAGCTGAAGACCGAGATGGAAGGCAACAGCAACCACAACAGCAACCACAACAGCAGCAACAATTTAGAAATGAAAATAGGCAGCAGTTCAATTCAGGTAGAGACCAAGAAAGATTTGGGAGGAGGTCTTTTGGAAATCGGGTAGAAAATGATCGGGAACGCTATGGTAACCGTATTGATGACAGAGATAATAGTAACCGTGAAAGGAGAGAGTGGGGAAGAAGAACCCCTGAACGAGACAGGCACAGAGACTTGGAAGAGAGGAGACGATCCAGTGGACATCGAGATAGGGATTCTAGAGAGAGAGATTCTCGTAGAGATAAGGAAGAAAATCGAGGGAAAGAAAAACCTGAGGTGACAGATAGGTCAGGTGGCGATAAAACCATTGAACCTTCTAGTAGCCAAGTGGGAAACGCAGACACTATTTCAGAACTTGATAAAGGGGAGTCAACAGTTATAAATCCTACTGAAGAGTTACCATCAGAGGCTACTTCATCTGTTGATGAACCTGAAAAGGATTCTGCCTCGGGAGTAGAGGCTTCTCGCTAGAGACTGGAATTTGTCAAAATGTGACAGTGACATTGAAGCATAGAGCTTGAGGTGTACAGACAGATGCTGTATTATATTTGCTTCTGCTATATCACAGCCCCTCAGTAGTTGGTGGGGAATTACAAGCAATTTGATTGCTTCCCTTCTATTTAAAATAGCCACAAAATGACAAAAATATGAATAAAATATTACCCTTTTGCTGTAACTTTTTAAAAGTTTTGACTTTAAAAAGTTTACAAATCGTGATTAGAAGTGCTTTCTATTTTTTTTTTTTAATTTAAGAAAAGGTAACAGTGAAAGCTCCTCAAACAATAGGGATGTTTTTAATAAACTCTATTTTCGTAACAAACTTTAATGTGTGCTATTCTTCCTACACTGCACTGAAGCGGAAAAGAAATGTTCAGCATCTTAAAGTTTGAGCTGTTAATGCTGTACTGAAGTCTAAATTAGACAGTTAAAATTGTTTATATTTGTTGGAAAAAATACATCTTTGTGTAGTTGAATTCACAGGAGCAGGTTTTTATTTGTAATAGTTGATTTTTAGATGCATTTTAATCTACTTGACCATATAAGGTAAAAGTTAGTGGTTTTAAAATGTTATTTGAAGAGCTAATTGTTAGTGTTTGTGATTTAATCAAGGTTTTATTTTTCTCATTGGTTCTGTGGTGTTGCCCTAATTAATTTGTAGAAAGACAAATTCCTTTACTGACACAATTGGACCCTTAGGAAAAAATAATTTGATATATTCAAATTATTGCCTAATAATAGGCCCATTTAGGAGTTAGGGTGTTTTTATTTTTTTAACCCACAAAATAATTGGTTTGTTTTCTGTTTTTTTTTTGAGGTGGTTGAGAGAGTGGGGTTTGGGGAAAAAAAATCAAGACTCAAAACTCCAGCTTAAAATACATATTTTTCTTTAGTACTAAGGATTTTAAGATGCTACCTGTTTTACGTAACTCAAGCTTTCATTTCCTCACTTATTTTGTGCCCTTCCTTACTGGGCAGAGGTAGTCTTGCTACATTTCTATAACACAAATTAATGGAGTTAAATTATCAGTACAGGAGATGAAAAAATAGCCAAAGCCAAAAACAAATCTAAGATTACAGAATAGGGTATAAGAGTGTTCACCCAGTGCCCTGGGAGAAAGGTATTCAGTGTTGCACAAAATAATCCACACACTGTGCTCGTAAAAATTTTATTAATACTGTGCATTTAAAAAAAAACTGTCTTGGCTTTTCTTGGCTTTGATGTTATACCGTTAATTTCTCTTCTCCCCACCTTTCCCCTAAATGAAGAGGCAGCTGCTTTGTTACTTGAGTAATTTTTTTTAACGCTGCTTTTTGCAGCAGGGCATTTGAAGGGGGGGGGGGGTTGGAGGGCATTTTTATGTTCCTGCATTTGCAGAATAAAGGAGAAAATCCTGTTTACATATCTGTGAACTTAAAATTCCATGTGTTCAAAAATTTGTCTTTACTGTTTGTTTCATTCATGTTGGAGCCATTGAGTCACCTGAAAGGATATTTGTACAAAAGCTGAAATCAATAGCCTGAAGAACCGCCATTATTCAAGTTTTGATTGTTCAGAATTTACTTATTAGTAATTTTCCCAGAGAAGGTCTACCCTATATGACACAGACTCTGAGTCTCTGGTTGGTACAATGAATACCTACCTAACGTTCAGAAGAATGCCTATATCCATGGACTGTTACTAGTGGAGATGAGTGGAGATTTGCAAGTTGTACTTTTCTACTCCTTTAAAATGTTAGTGTTTTAAAAATAGTATCCAGCTTGATTTAGACATTTTTTCTTAAAAACATTTTTATAAATTGTTGAAACTGGTATCATTTTTAGGAAAAGAAAGGATCTAGTATGACATTTTGCTAGTATATCTCTGCCAAGATATTCTACCTTATAATTTATATTTTTTCTAAATTTTATGGTCACCATTATTTGCATTTCATTCAAAACCTTGACTTGAATACATTTCATTTTAAAAGTTGCATAATGTAAACAGGATTAAAAGATAAGGGATAAGGACCACTTTTGGGGGGAGAGAAAAAAAAAAACCTAAGCATGCATAAGGCTAAATAACACTCCACTTCAGTTTTGAATTTAGTTGAACAACTAACTTGCAGGGGTGGGGTTCTGCAGCATTTTATCTTATGGAAGGAGCTTGGAAACAGAATGTGCCAATCTCCGTTTTTATTATATACTAAAAGGTACTGGGCTCACTGGGCATACTCTAAGGCATGACTGTGGAAGAAAGGAAAAAAATGCTAACTTGGCAGGTAAGTTTCTTACTCTTAGCCAATATGGTTTTAAGACTTAGATTTTGGCTTAAACCAATTGTAAATAAATGGAGATTTTCACACAAAAGTAGAAATTTTGCCACCTGTTATTTAAAAGCTGTTTGTTTCATGCTAGGACACCACATTATCTTGTCTTAAGCCATGGCAGGAGGATATATACTCTTTGTCCAAGAAAACTATCCTTTTATTGGACCTAAACATGGTCCATTATGAGCCAGCTGCTAGAAACAGGTTTCTCAGGGTTTTTTTTAAAAAGGAAATTAGTTATAAATAATACACATATGTCTTGACTCGTTAAATTTGACACACAAATGATACTTGATATCAACTTTCCCAAGGCCTAAGGGAGCTAAATTCTACTTTGAATTATTCCAACATAGCTCACTTTGAAGAAACATTTGTACATCTAATGTTTGGGACCAGCCTTAAGTTTGATAAGTTTAAACAAAATTATGCCAGACACTGTTTAATTCCCAGAAACTATTCCACAGTCACTGCTGCATTTTAATCATAGGTTGTATGAAATTTTATATAAATCTGCATTGGAGACATTTGAACAAAGCAATTAAAGTTTCACACAAGCTTTGAGTTAAGATTAGTGTTTAATGGTCTTGCCAAGTATGTTTCTACATGTAATCATCCACATCTTTGTATTCCTAGGTACCTGAGTTATATCCTAGGAAAATGATTTACTTAGCAATCCCAATTATGCCACAAGCTAGGCGAGGTCCAGCATTTCCTGTCTTTTCACTCTCTTCATTTCCCCCTTTGCCCAAGTCATCAGCTTTCTCGTGGACCTAATAAAAAAAAAAAAGGCATTTTAAGAAAATTTAACTATGTCCTAAGAGGCTACTACACACGTTATTTTTTCCTCCCTAATCCCTGAGAGGTAAGACCCTCATGTACATAGATCAAGGGGCATGTCAAGTGAACCTTTAGTGATTAATGAACACATATATGGTAACTTTTTTTTAGGAAAACAAGCCTGTAACATTTAATAGGATTTATGTTATAGGTTATGTTGTGGTATATCTAAATAAAATTCTTTCCTAGGCAGTTTACTATTATAATAAAGGAAATTAACAAGCTAAAAATCTAGAACATATTGATCCTAGACTTCCATAATACCAAAGAAATTATAATGATTTTCTAATACTGTTTGCACTATATATCATACAAATTGAGGGAACAAGTCAAATTGGGCTCAAATTCTATCAAAATGTTAAGACAGCACAGCGGAACAGTGCCCAGAGATATCCCCAAAACTGTGTTAATGTGGATTTTTTTTTTAAACATTCTTAGATCTACAAGTGAAATGGACTAGCACCTCCCCGTGTTTTGAGCAATGTGGCAACCTATGAAGTCAAAACACTTGTTAAAAAAAAAAAAAAAAAGGTGGGAGAGGGGAGGGAAGGAATTGAATATTGACAGATCAAATAGCAAAATCTGATAAAATTGAGTTGTTTGGGTATTAAGATATATAACATCCCAAAATACTCACAATGACTTGCTATTTTAACTCAGATCCAGGATCGTTCTCTTTTCTACCACTACCCAACCCCCCCCAAATTAAAAAATTCCCACGTTTAGTTTCTAAGGCTTTAACAATTTACCTCTGATATCGAATGGGGAAGAATTAGCATTTAACCTCTATAGCACAATGACCAAGGTCACTATTTTTGTTCCCTTTCACTGTGAGCATTGATTTTAAGCCTAATTTTAATTGCTGAACTATAAGGCCAAGTTAAAACATGGGTCTCAGTCTCATTACTAAGAATCTTTAGAGTTGGGGTGGCTGGACTTGTATGAAGAAACTCCCTCTAATAATGCAGGTCAGCACCTTAAAGTTTTACAGAGCTGCTTAGAGCACTCAACCGTTAAATGACATACCCAGGGCCACAAGGCCTATATGCATTAGGAAAGCTGCACATGTGCACACACAAACACTTGATATTTTAACACTTACCACCATAGTACGGCCAATGATAGACATTGGTCCTGAAAGTTCAATTAGATGATCTTTGATAGACACTTTTGCCACACCATCTTTGTCAGCAGTCACATTGCCAAGGTCTCCAACATGCCTACGGGTCACAAACAAGCAATCTCAGTTCCAACCAAGTGTTTCCAAGTTTAAAGTCAGACCCTAGCTTCCAGGATGAAATTACCTCTTGTATTTGATCAATTAAGTACTGATCAAATAAGGGTAATTAGCCAGATATAGGAATTAAAAACTGGAAAAAAAAATCTTCAACTAACCTAGTCAAACTTTAAAAAGACAAAGTAACATTAGATGGAAAGTTTTTTTTGGGGGGGGAGGGAAAAGAGGAGGGGAAATGTGAGTGATTATAGATTCTTTCCAATAACCAAGAGAAGGAACTATTGATCATAGTTTAGTTTATCCTATGAATAAGTAGTGAATTATTAAGATTCTCACCCTGACATGATCAGTCCTTACATGACTGAACCTTGTAACTATTTTCCTTTTAAACCATTTACTTTTCATAAAAGATTCCACAGACAAAGTAGAAATTGGAAATTCCCCCCCCCCCCCCCGTTTGAATGGTATTAAAGTAGTTTCATCAATTAGGCCTTGATGTTCACAGATTTCCTCCCTCCCCCATGCTTTAAAAATGGTGATTGGTTTATTCTAATGTCTGACAATACTATATATTCATGTCATTTCCTCTGTTTCATTTGACATTGTGTTCTGTATTAAATAAACATGATAAAAACAAAGCCCTCTTAATTTGTGCTCCCATTTGTTAATTTTTTAGTGTCCCCAACACTACACTGAAAATGGGGGAGAAATGATACATTCTTGATGTTGTGCTAGGTGGAAGGATGGGAGGAGGAAAGAGTACTCATAGAACAACTAATTCTGTAGGGCTAAGTGGAAATTCACCATTACATCAGTTCTACCAAGGCAGATCAATAGAAATGAGACCTTTAGAGGCCTGAATTCAACTTGTATCATTTTACAAATCAAGAGCTCTCAGTAAACCTGACAGTTTTTCTCACTTACCTTTCATCATCATTTGGTCCACCATGTTTTTTGGAATGAGGATTAAAGTGAGCACCTGCACTGGTACATCCTGTTAGTAAAAAGAATCTATAATCAATAATATCAATTATTACTTCTATAAAGATCTAATCACACAAATTGTTCATCAGCAAAGTTACTGAAATAGAATTATTTAAAATCTATTGTACACTAGTTACCTACCAAAACTTAGATACCAAAATGTAGAATTCCTTTTTTAAGTTCAAGTCCACACATCATTTGTATTAAGGAAGAAAAATCCATATGGCTTCTTTTTGAAAACTTTCAAGTTTCTTATCAAGTTCCCCGTAAGTACTTTTACTTCAACATTTGGTAGTTAAATAATCCAAAAAAGGTAGATACTGGTCACTATTAAATTTGTTTTTGATCTTGTTATCCATTCAAATGAAAGCACAGATATAACTCATTAAAAATCATTTGAACACATTACTAACTTTAATAAAACCATATTGTGAAGATTCAACATTGTCTCACAACTCCATCTGATTAAATAAACCATGGATTATATGATCTTTCCTAACCCATGCTTACTTACTGGGTTTCCCCCCCCCCCCCCAGACTAATATAACTTGAAATGGCAAACCACTCCAGAATCTTTGCCAAGAAAACCCCAAATAGAGTCACAAAGAGTTGGACACAACTGAAATGACTCAACAACAAATATAACTTGAGTAGTAGCTTGGTATATAAAGTAGGGATTATTAAACCCCTTCCATCACTTAGGCAAGTCCTTTTACTTTACTGGGCTTCAACTTCATGTAAAATAGAACTTTAGTAGCAAGAAGGTAAACGGTTCCTATACTTTTCCAAAGAATGAGCTAGTTTAGAGGAAAGTTAACCATGTCTCTCCTATCAGCAGCGAATTTGGCAGTAGCAACAACTGTCTGCCACTGAGGTAGGAGGGGAAACACCATCTCCTTATGTCCAGGAGTAGTATGTTCCCTAGCAGCTGTTATTCCCATTGCCTAGCTGGAACAAGAGTATTCTGTCACCTAAAACCACTAGCAGTTAAACTACAGTTTTTCTGACTAAGGCTCTTCCATTAACTTTGGACATGGTCTATGTATAACATGTAGACCACTAAGCAGTAGCGTGTAATCTCTCATTGGGAGAAAACTTCAGCCAAGAAATAAATGATAAGCCAGGATGGCTTAAGGAAAGGTACTTTTTCCAATGGACTAAACTTGGCTTGCAAACTGATACTCCTTTTCTTATCTGAATTGTCAAACATTTAAAAGTACAATGAATATAGCAGTCAAGTGAATAGAGACACAAAATATCTGTACAATAATTTAACACTGATCTCTAATTACATTGAGCTAATTTTCTGATGGTGAAATTCCACAATGAAGTTAAAGGAGATATCTTTATTAGAAGGTATAAGTTCTCTATATAGTTTTGTAGTTTTAAGTCTCTTACTCAATTACCCTTCATCCAATTCCAAACTAGAAGCCAACTCATTCTAATAGAATAATTTGTTTTAGACAGACTGAGGACATTTCTGTCTACTAAGTATATTATGAAAGGAATAAAAGGCACACATGAGAAACTGAGGAATGTGACACAGAAAATAGCTCTGATACCTCTCCCCACTCTCCTTTACTGAATGCTGCTTACAGATGAATAGCTAGCTGTAGCACCTAAAAGACAAAATTGTTTTTCCGAATCACGAGAGCTGCTATGCTTTATGTATAGACAGTTGGCTTTTTTTTTTTTTAGGCAATTGGGGTTAAGTGACTTGCCCAGGGTCACACAGCTAGTGTCAAGTGTTTGGTCTGAGGCCGGATTTGAACTCAGGTCCTCCTGACTTCAGGGCTTGTGCTCTATCCACTGTACCACCTAGCTGCCCCATTACAGTTGGCTTTTTTGACCTTCCACTCTCACCAACAAAACAAGACTAATTTTAATATTTATTTAATAATAATAATTTAATAAATATTTAATATTTATTTACCTAAGTGTCCATTGCAAGACAAAACAGGGATGGCCCTATCTTGATTCCTCTGACAAATTTAGGTTAACATGTTTCACCTCCATATTATTTTACTGACAAACTATAATGGCCCAACAAAATGCACATAAATTACAAAACCTACCTTGAGTGTTATCACCAAATTCATGGACATGGAATCCATGATTTCCTTCAGCTAATCCTGTAATGCTTCCCTTGATTTCCACAGGCTCCCCAGCCTTTATTCAAAGAAAGATTTGATTAGTTTGAAATAACTAAATTAACAAGTCATTACTGATTAACCAGCTATCTTAATTTTTTAATAGTAACTCTATACCGCTATAGGGTACCCATGGTACTGATAAGGAATCAATAAATTTTTTATGTCAGGTATTAAATGTCTCTAAGTCAACTAGACTATGGTCAGTGGGGAGCCATTTTGTTTCTGGAGAAAAAGGACGTAGGCGAACTAGTTTCAGAAAATTAAACCTGCAGGATCAAAGGAAGGAAAAGTCAAAACATTGAGTTTGATGTCAAGAGACGTGAATTCACTTTAAAAGGCAGGACTCAGTTTAATTCTCAATAAAATAAAGGTGTTAAATAAGATGACCTGAGGTGGCTTCCAATTCCAATATTCAGTGACCACAGAGGACTCTGCATATAAAAGTTTGAAAATCTAAACCAAAATATATAATTTTAGACTAAAATACTGGTTTTATAAAATCCAGGTTTTTGAGGGGAAAGGCACATCATTTTAGGAGTCTCTGGTATCCTTTCCTCTTGAATTACTAAGCCTTCATAGCTAGGAAAGGATAGAGAGCCTATTCACCTCCAACCTCGCACCAAGAATCTCTTCCTCTGAGATTCATTCCTAATGTTTCTATCCTGTCGAGATCTTTTTTGGAGTCTGACTTTGTCATCTAGTATAATGGTCTCCAAGGTGGGGGTCTTGGAGACACCTCAAATATACCACTCTTCTGAATTACCCATTTCTCTTGAAGACTCCATTACCCTTCTAGGCTTTCCATATTTACGTCAGTGTCATGTGTCTTTCATTCACTACACAGAATCAATAGGTTACCAAATCTTTTCTTTTCTACCTCCACAACATTTCACCTTTCCCTACTCTACACCTCTCCCCTAGACTATTACAATATTCTCCTAATTGGTCTCCCTACCTCCAAGTTTCTACTTCATCCTCCACAGAGTTGCCAAAGTGAATTTGCTAAAGCACAGATTTGACTGTCAGTTCCCTAATTCAACAAACTATGGTGATCCTTAGTCTATCAAATATTAAATTCCACACTTCCTTGCCTTCTCCCCCTTTCTTACACCACCTACAAACTGGCCAAACTGCTTGATGGGTTCACAACTTGGAAGAGGTGGGAGGCACTAAACTTATTCCTTCCAGTGAGATGAAAAACCACCATGCCTTACCATCTGCCCTGCCAGAATTTCCAGAACTCCAGCACTTGCATGACCTACTAATGTAACTAAAGGACCCCGAACCCTGCCATTCACACCATCACTACAGCCTCAAGAGCTGTTTGGGTTTTGTTGGCTCAGAGTGAGTATAAATAGCAATTGTTTCTTTTCTGGGCAGAAACCCTGATGATCTTCCCCTCCAAGATTGATTTTTTTTTTAAAGTAGGTAAAAAAGGCCAATTTTTGCCTCATTTCTTACCAACCTTAATCACTGAATGGGTGTTGCCTCTGACAATCTGAGACCTTAGCTTAAAAAGGCCAAGGTCTCCCACTGCATTTGGGGCCATCTCCAGTGGTCTTGATCAATATTTTTCCACTGGACCTAGAAGCTCTGGAGAAGAGAGTGAGGCTGGAGACTTTGCACAGCCCCACTTCAATCCAATTCACTTGAAAGTCAGGATGTCACTTTCTTGATATCATTGGTCCTCTTTGGGAACAAAGGACAAACAACAATAGCCTTATTAGGACTTCTGGGCCTTGCCATCCATTCTGTAACTGAATACTTATGTTGTCTCCCCCCACTTAAAGTGAGCACCCTGAGAGGTAGAGATTGCCTAAATTTTTCTATTTGTATCCCCAGTATTTAGCACATAGTAAGCATTTACTGAGAGGGGAAGCTAAGTGGTGCAGTAGATACAATGCTGGGCCTGGAGTCTTGAAGATATCTTCTTGAGTTCACATCTGGCCTCAGACACTTACTAGCTATTCAACTTAACCCTGTATGCCTCAGTTCCTCATCTGCAAAATAAGCTAGAAAAAATGGCAAATCACTAAAGCACCTTTGCCACGAAAATCTCAAATGTGGTCATGAAGAGTCAGACACAACTGAAAATGGCTGAACAACAACAAAAAGCACTTAATAGCTTTTCATTCATAAGATTTATAACACACATTATTATTACAGCAGTACATGTAGATAACTTTAAAATAAACTTTAAAAAAATAAAACACTTTTAAAAATGCAGAAAGTTTGGATAAACCACAGTTCTAATGTTAGCTATGCCTCCAAGTCCACACTTTGGGCTATTTACTGAAGAATGACCTCTATAATGTCCTATAGCCAAGTCATTGATAAAAATATAAAACAACACAGGGTCAAACACAGATCCCTTGGGCAGTACATTGGAGAATTCCTTCCAAGATGACACCAAACAATTATGAGTTAATATTCTGAGATTTGCCATTCAAAAATTCTGAACCCATGCACTGCACCTTTGCCTCTCTTGTTCACAAAAATAATATTCTCACTTCAAATGCTTTTGCTAAAATCTAGGCAAACTGGGATCAAGACAGACACCTCCAAGGGAGGGGAGAGATACAGCCAGGGAAATAGCCAGGAGGCCTAAGGCATTACAGAATGGGAGGAGATCTTACCAATAAGCTGCTGCCAGGACTTAGCATGTGATTACACCAAGCTCGCACATGACCAGTTCAACAGGTGGGGTCCCAGAGTGGGACTCCTAAATCTATTATCACGCCACTTATTCAGGCAGGTCAGTGATGCTTAAGAGTGACAGATAGGGTAAGGTTTCACTCAAGTGCATGTGATCAGTTTCCCTCTTTCTCTGCTTGTGACCTAACAGCTAGAAGTCTGAAAAATTCTAGACATAGAAGATCAGATATGGGAGTTGCTTTTTTTTTTTTTAATGGGCAGGAGGGAATAGAGAGTATTTAGAACAGCACAACTTGTTAGGGAAAGACAAGAGCCTGAATATGAGATGCTACCTATCTTCTCACAAATTTGCTCTCCTATATTCTGTATGGGTTATGGGTCACTTCCCTTTAAGATTCCCATCATTTCAATACAATAAATTCCTCCTCCCCAGTGAAAACTGAATCCAGAATATAATTTCTCCTTGTTGGTCCCACTACACATTTTGAAGGATGAAATCAGCATTAAGCCATGAAGTATTAGTGGTTTTGATTTGGGTAGAGAGAAAACTCTAGCAGATGTCCAACTAATTATAGTTATTATACTTATGTGTGCCAGGGTTGTGATCTATTTCTCAAATTCTTTATATTTCTATCCAGGGTGTTTATACTTCAACAGTAATACCACTTAACATTTGTTTTCACTCAAATATCGTCCATCAGGTTCTCCCTGATGCTGGTTCTTAAGCTTTCCTCTCTGCAATGTATCTTCTAAAGTACAATACTACTCTGCCTCTTGACCTAACCCATTCATTTTGAACAATAGTATACACTTTCAAAGCCTTATTCCAGTAATGTAATAGATTATTGTCAAATGTTACCTACACCTCATGTATTTATACAGACATCTGAGGTTTTATTGCTGGCCTCTTTACTAGATTTTGTCTGTGAATTTGTGGGTGTCTCTCCTGCTATTTCTGTTTTCTCCATTATAGCTCATTTATATCTAACTGACATACATATAAGTTTTGTTCCTCTCCCTTCCTTTTCAGTTTAAAACTCTCTTGTTTAGATTTCTAAGACTCATGATAAATGCATCCTTATTCTGTGTACTCCATCACTTACTAGCAGCCTGTCTTTCCTCTACCTTAAGCAGAACTCCAGAAATCCAAATCCCATTCTCAGATACTTCTTTACCAGCCACTTACTTCCCAATCTTCCTCTCTTTTGAAGCCACTGACTTCAATGGGCAACAATCATCAAAGCACAACTTATGTTCCTAGTCAACATTCTTGCCCAAGACTTCATAATCTTTAGTAACATTTCCTTGATTCTTTCTGGTATTTGTGGCCAAATTAATGACAAGAAGTAGTTAACAGTCATCAGGTTTGGGAGATTCTATGATGTCTTGGATACACTCCAAGAATATAAGGAACAAGTAACTGCCTCAATACCTCTGAAGAGAGAGTCACCAACCATTACTATTCTTCTCTCTCTGACCCTTCCTGAATGATCTTTCACATGAGATCATCCAGACTAAAATCATTATTCCTGAGAGGACAAACAGTAACTCCCTCCTCTTTCAGAAGGACCTCCTATTCCTTAGCATGAAATGTTAAATGGTCATTTTTCCTTTTCGTTTCTCCATGACATTTCTCTACCCTCTAAACTTTTGATATAGGTTAGGATGCTTCAAGTTTCTTTTCTTCTGTTTTCACTTGGAAGCCCTTCTGATTTTTCTTTTTTTAATAAGGGAAAACTTTATTCCCTGATAACTCAGAGCAGCTTTCTTCAAGCCAAACCATAGATTAATCAAGTTATATTAAATTTTTTTTAACTCATGGATATATGCCATGCTGACAAGATTGATACTGTAGCTATCAGTCAGAACAGTCAGTCAATCAGAACAAAGCAAAGTTTAGAAAATGGTTCCTTTTAGCTAGATATAAAATAAAGAAACCTTCTGGAGCATTGGGGCTACTTGACAAAAGAACAGAAGATTCATATAGGAGTCATCTATTTTGGCCAGACTCATCTGTTGTCAATATAGTGTAAAGTCCCCAGTTTTGCCAATCAATTTGTCAATCAACAAAGATATATTAAGCACTTACTATTTGCCAGACACTATGCTAAGTGCTGAGATACAAAGAACCAATTAAGGAACTCATATCCTAGTCAAGAAAACATGTAATCTATGTAAAAACAAGATACATACAATGTAAATGAGAGGTAAACTCAGACGGAGGGCACCAATAGTGGGGGTAACCTGGAAAGGCCTTTTTTAAAAATTTTAAACATGTTTATTCAAAGTTTTGAGTTCCAAATTCTATTCCTCTCTCCCTCCTCCCTGAGACAGTAACCAATCAGATATAGGTTATACATG